GGAGCACAGAGCTCCAACCATTTTGCAAACCAAGCTGGGCAAGATCACAACCAAGGCAGAGCTGTTTGTGCCTTCAGACACCTCAAGAAGTGCAAGGAGTACAAACACACGCCTTTCCTGGGATTACTGTCCTCTAGAGACTGAACTGCCTTGTGGAAACACAGSTAGAAGATCTCAGAATACAAGTAAAAGAACAAGTAGAAGATCTAAGAATACACATAGAAGACCTAAGTAAAGAAACAAGTAGAAGACTTAGGTAGATAAATAAATACGATACTCCAAACTTGCATCTGAGTAATTTCTTCCCCTGCCACGCTGTACAGACACAGTGGAAGCAGACTTGGCAAATTCCATCCACGTGCTTCCCAAAATGACTGACGGAGCACAACGTGAACATTACTCCTGGACCGGATCGAGAGAAYGCATTAAAAAAATGCGTAAGTGGAACGCAGATATACATTAACTCAATCCTGGCTTATTATGGAATTAAAGAACACATACCTGTAATTATGGCTTACCCCTGTTACAAGCAGAGCCGCCRCAGAACTGAACGTGGGCCAGCTTTGTGCAGGAGTTCAAAGCCAGTGTGATGCTGCCTTATTTTCTCACTAACATCATCTTTATCCTCTCTTGCCCTTCTTCTCAGTTAACAAGAGTTATGTACTGAAAGTGCTGAGATAAAGCAATGGGAAGGAGGATACCGCAAAAGGTATCTGAAAAGCACAAGTAATTTACTACATGTCTGCTTTGTTTTACTTCCTAAGCCTTCCTGTTGTGAAAGGAAATTCATCTTTTCTGGCAGACTCCAGCCTTTTTTTAGGTCGGAGAGCTCCCCAGGAGCTTTGGAGCGCAGGTAAATGGATGTGAGACTGAAGGGGCACAGCACAAGGAGCACGGGATTAATGCTGGGCTTTGCCGTGGCTGTCACAGCTGACGCGCAAGGAGAGTCACGGGAAGGGAAGGGTGTGGAAAAAAAATAGGCTGAGTGCTTTGCCCATCACTGCAGGTCTGAGATGGCACGAGTGGAAAGGTGCTGCTGGTGGGGGAAGAACAGAGGATGCACCCTGAGGTGGGGGAATAACAGAGGATCCATCCCAAGGTGGGTGAAACACAGAAGATCATCCACCTCCACACAAGACAGACACCAGGAGTGGGTCAAAACCCCGAGAAAGGGCTGTGGATGGACAACAGCTGTACCCTGAACCCTGCAGGCAGTGGGGAACCCCGGATTTGGGCACAGGGGAAGCATCCACCACCTCACGGAAGCAGCACAGAGCGGTTTTGTCCTCTTCTGTTCTCCTGCCAGTTCGCACATATGTTCTGAGCACACAGCCTGCCCTCCAAAGACCACTTACAGGGGCAATCACGGGGAAGCAAAGCAGGAAGAAAGTATCCAAAAAGGGAATTGGTTCAAGAGGAAAAAATGGAGACAGATGTAGAGCGGCTAGKCACGGCTGGCGGTAAATAACCCTCTGCCTGGAGTGCTCTCTCTCTCCGAGAGCAGTTCACATATTACATTTCATATTTCCTTTCTAGGAAGTCAAATCTTTGTTTTCCTGGCGTTTGTTCTCTTCTCCTCTGCTCCTTCTAAAACTGTCTTCTGGTTTTCACTTTCCCTTCTGTGTTTTGCTCTCTTTYGAGTGCATTTCCCCTGATTTCCCTGCACCATCCCAGGCCACACCTTTGGCCACCACCCTGTCCCAGTGCCTGTGCCATGGGTACATGGCTTCACACCTGCCTCCCGTGCTTGAGTCTCCCCTCTTCCTCAYGTGCACACCTCAAAATTAAGCAGATGCAACGCACAGAGATGGAATATTCATCCTCTTGCTCCCATAAACCTGTCAAGGCACATAGGCCAAGAAGCTATCTCTGCATAAATCTAAATCTCCTGTGAGGAAGCAATCTACTCAAAGGCAATAAAGGCAAAGGATGCATTATTATCTTTGGTGTGGATCCTACTGGACTGGGATGTTGGCTGCTGGCTCCTCTCTGAACTTCCCATCCCACAGACAAGGCTCAGCTTCCTTTCCTTGGGCTGATTTCCTCCTCCCGTYGTTTTGGCCGGTAACCCAAAGGACAGGGTTTAATTATGGACTTTGGAAACCTGGCTTGCACTGCTCTGCCAGCACGGGATAAAACTTGAGCCTGTCCTCTGAAACAGCATCGTTCTGATGCTGATACCTGCGTTATCCTGCACAGCACAGAGCGAGCTGCGGGGAAGAAATGCCAAGACAAAGAAAAAGATGGGTTTTAGTCTTTAAACTTCTACTGAAAGTTTCACGGAGAAGAAAACAAAACTCGGAGTTTTGTGAAGCTCAGAGATTATTGTATGTGCCACCATTTTGATTGTGGATTAAATAAGTGGCAAGGCCATCCTCTGGGAATAAAGACATCAGAAAGGAAGGATCTGGAACTGGCCCAGGCTCCAAAGCTCCCTCTCTGGGAGGAGCACTCTGGAAAGCCCTSGCTAAAATGGGATGTTAACACCACTTACACAGCTTTAGGGTGACCAACTCAGTCAGAGGCCCCACTGAAGGCTCATGGAACATTTTACACTTTTGGAGGTGAAATCCCCGTGTCAAACACCGATGGCCACATGCTGGTGTCAGAGCCAGGTGTGATGGCTGTGTATGGACAGCAGTGGGACAAACCTTTGGGGGATCCCTTTGTGCCAGTGACACTCCTGTCACCCCAGCAGGGAAAGGACACTCAGAACTGGTTTGTCCTTGGCCACTGTCGAGCTGTGGCTCCTCAGGTGATCCCTCTGCCAGTGCTCTTGCAGTGACCCTGTTTCACGGAGAGGCTGAGGCAATGAATTCAGAGGACAGGCTGCTGGAAAGCCACGGCAGAAGCACCGGGGTGGGGCTGCGTGGATGCAGCACAAGGATGGCTTGGCCACGTGGGCAGGACAAAGCTCTTTTTCCTCACAGCTGTGACAGTGATAGATTGCCTGGTGAATCTGAGCTATATCTAGTTGRTACCTGGCTACAGTCCCTGATGCTGCAAGGTGATTTTCTGCCATTTTACAGGCAAGACTAAGCAGAATCTGGGATTTTTTTTCTATAGCAAGTGAGGAAGGTCATGAGGAAAGAAGAAACCTTCTCTTGCCTGACTTGCTCTTGCCTTTCTGAGCGCCTCAGGAAGTTTGACACGGGCAGCTGTGCTTCCTCACCACGGGCACCCAGTGGTGCCAAGAGCAGCAGAGGAGCTCTGGAGGTGTGAGGCTTTGGGTTCTCCTCTTGCCCAGCCCAGCAGMTCAGTGCCAGGACTCGGATGAGCCRGAGGAAATGACCACRTGTGGACAAAACCACCCGAAACGACAGCAGAACRAACAGCCGACCTCTGTCTGCTGCACAAACGGAGAACATTTGTCATGAACAACAAGGACCCCAAACTTTGGGGGGAGCTGTCCCCCAGCCTGGCAGCGGTGCAGGAGCAGTGACCCCGTCAGTGTCCAGCCATCTGTGGCTGAGATCTCCCCCTCTCCCAGCTTTTGTCTGCGATTTTGCCGCTCCGTGAGCAGAGGTTCAGCGCCATGCCTCACATCATCTGGAGCCTGGAGCTGATGGAGGGAAGGGCCCCTGGTGCCCACGGAGCAGGAGACCTCGGTGCAAGCACCAGAGCCCTGGGGACRGCGGTGGCCAGGCAGGCACGGGGAGCCTGGCACTCGTCTGCCCGCAGGTCCAGCCTCTCCTCCTGCCAAAGTGCCACATCTGCAGTCAATAAGGGCCCACAAGCTGGCTCCTCCTCATTAGAGGAGAGAGGGCAGCTGGCAGGGGATCCTCCAAGGGCTCCCAGGCACAGGAATCAGTCTCCTCCCAGTCTGGAATAGCCCAAATTTGGTGACTTTCTGGGCATGCTGTAAAGGACAGCTGTTTGACAGGGTCTCCAGAGAAAGCTGTGGGTATGTTTCCTACATGATGAAGGATATAGGTGGCTGGCCAAGTGCCCACACAACTGATTTTAATGCTGTTCAGGTCGAATTTACTTTTCTGTGCTGTATAGTTCATTATACACAGCGCCCTGGACCAGCATGTGTTTTTTTCCAAACAAACCAAAACCATATTATTTTAAATCCAGACAAAYGAGAAAGACGAAAAGGAAGTATTGCAAAAGATTCTTTTCACCTTTAGAGGACCTCCTCAAACCCTGGGAGGCACTGCTTGCCTTCCTCTAACAAATAAGAGTTCTGTTATTTTTATTGGCAATAAATATATTGATATATCAATATTGATATAAATATATTGGTTATTCAGGCATTAACTAAATGAGGCATTCAGTTCACCTACGTATGTAGCACTGAACCAGAAAAATATTTCCAATAGTCTTGAGCACCCAGATGATCTCAGTAAAAGTGATCAATGGACAGTCAGGTATGTAACATAACAGAACCCCMAAAAAATGATCAGCAGGAAAGATCACACACAAAAATTGACTGAGAAGAGGCCAAAGAGCTGCTTCCTCAACGTTCTGAAGTGTAACACCCAGTGATAGCTATTTTGATATGAAGCCTCCAATCACACTTCACAGCATTACAGATTGATAAAACAACTCCTTCTGTAAGTCTCTTAAAAGTCATTACTGAGTGATCTCAAGTGTTGTATAATGCTTGAAAAGTCCTTCTACCTTATACAGGTTTARGGATATTTATTTAAGCAGCGTAACTGATGGAGCACAGCCCAGACAGGTACTGCTTTTTGCTAGGAAAAGCTATCCCAGAACTGAATCTGGACATTTTGACAGAAAAAAAAAGAAAAAGACCGCCTATCTTCTGCTGCATTATTGAAATACTTCAGATATTTGGCCAAAATACAGAAGTGACACACTACAGAAACATTCACAGCTGCAGGAGCAATAAAACCACTGCCACATTTTCACGAGACCGTTCCTCGGAAGTGACGAGATGTCTGGGAGCGGCCACCTCTCTAACACAGCAAATTCTGACAACAAAACAGAGCAAGTGGAGATGAAGTTCTGGAGCTCTGGGAGCCTGGCCTTACCTGGCTCCACTTCATGCCATCCGCTGGACTGGCTGCCGCTGCCCGGAGAGCGCCCTTGGCTTGTGTAGAACGGCTCCTCACCRGGGCTGTCCATCTCATCCTCCACAGACTTGAGACGTTTTGTGGAGCTGGGGGTGCAAAAAAAGCACGGTGAGGGCATGGCAGGGGAACTGAGGCACTGCTGGTGGAAGGTAGAACAGGTTTAGGGCCCTGATTCAGGTGTGAATCCTGAATCTGCACAGCCAACCTGCCCACCCAACCTCTCAGCATCCATTTTTTGTTTCTGGTTTTCCTCCAAGCTTTGGTGAGACACCAAACAACCTTTCCCAGGCCAAACCCCTCAACCTGCACTAGTTTGACCAGAAGTTAGTCTGACATTTAGGCTTTCACAGATCCAAAAGCAGGACCTTTTCCAAAGCCCTCAGAGGTCAATAAAAAGGCAAGAATTTAACTTGCATAGTGCAATTCTTGCACTTTGAATGAATACGGTGATGACACACCAGACTCATTTTCACTGCCAGATTATTYTCTATTTCCAGGCTAATTCTGAAAGCAAATCACTTATCAGTTCAAACTCTTATTTTCAATCTTTTCAATTTTAACCCAGACTTTGGTCCCATAAGAAGAAAGAAGGATCCATTCTGGGTTCAAACACTCACGTTATCCCACAACGAGAAGCATTTGACTCGGCAGCTGTGCCAGCGAGCASAGAAAGCCCCCAGTGGGTATCTCTGGCCAGTGTCAGCATTAAAGAATCCCCCTGTGAGAGATCACACCTCCCTCAGCTGAGGCTCAGGACGCAGAAGAGCCCTTTCAGTGGTCTCTGGTGGCCGCTGGCTCCAGCAGCTCTGCAGGGAGAGGATCCCAGAGCCAAAGACACTCAGCTTGGCTCTGCTTTCCATAATGAGTTGCACAGACTGCATGGGGACCTTACTGAGAATTTCTCTTCTAAGTACTTTTCCAAAGCTGGGCCAGCTCACTTTTTTTTTTTTTTTTTTCTGCCCCAAATCTGTATTCTATTAAGACTTAGAGCACTCAAGAACAGGCTCCTCTGTGTAGGGGGAACACATTTCACAGACATAAAATCTTGCACTGCAATTCCTATTGGTTTAGGGCTTGCAGCCTCCCCACCCGAGGCTCTGCACAGGTAGAGCTGGAGGGTGTGCAAAGCCAGTTGGTGAGAAACAGGAAGAATAAGTCYTGGGGTATGTGTGGAATGCAGGTTTGGCCATTCCTTAATTTAGAGAATTGTTATGTGTCAATAGGGGAAATTGTGTGCATACAATATAATTACCGCCTGATAATTCTGCTGAGTCTGTGTATTTAAAGAATTTTTTTTTTTTTTTTTCTGACTGGGAACAGCCTAATGAGAGGAAAACAAACATATTACCAAGTTATTAACTACCCATGCTGTTTATAATTAGCTCCTTATCAGTGGTAGCTATTTGCAGAAGAATGGAAGAGCAACAACTGAGCTCTTAAGTAACATTAATAACCTYACTTTTGCTTCTGGAGCCACCAGTAAATTCTACCTGAGAACGGGGCTAACGATGAGTGCTGTAGGCTACACAGTTTACAGGCAGGAAAGAAACAGCACCAMGTTTTTAATTGATGTGTAATGGGAATTGCAGTCACCGAGCTCCATAACGTGCACACTGCAAGACACAAAATGTTCCTCCAAATCACTGCAAACTGTAAGAAGTTACTGCTTAGAGCCCCTCTTTAAAGATTACTGTTGTTTAAATAAAATCAACAGCTTTATTCAAACTACAGGGATTTTTCACACGTGCACTTGCTCACTGCAAAGCTGGTGGCACTGCAGGCTGAGATAAAAATGTAAGAGAGCCTTGTGCTGGAGTTAGACTTTCTTGTCATGTCTTTGAAATAAGTGATCTATTTTGGCTGTGGGGGAAAAAAAAAAAAATCAATCTGGTTCCTTAATAGTGTTCACGACTACTCGAGTGACTGAGCTTGTTTATAAATCTAATCTCATGKATGATTAAAGTGAAAGGTAAAAAATAAAAAATATCCTTGTTTGATAGCTGGCATCTAAGCCGAAATCAAAATCAGATGGGGCAGTCATCTGCATTAGCAAATCAGTTTTCCAAAGGCTGAGTCACAAACTTCTAAATGCTCTAGGAAAACGAAATGCTTTATAGACCRAGGCCCTAAAGCAGTGTCAGTCTCACAGGTAACACTGTTTACAGCAAAGAATACATGTAAATCTGTCTCACGACTTTCCTCACATCTCACTATGCTCCAAATTTTGTTCTGAGCTGAAATGCAACAATTCCAGTGCAACACCTTCCTGATACACCCAGGCACAGCCAGGAGTTACACAGAAAGTTTTTTTTTTTTGAGTGCTGCGCACACGAAAAGAAGAACTTTGCTGCAATCCAGCTGAACATTCAGCCCTGTGAGTCTGAAACAGCTCCACACCGTGAGGCCCCCAAACAACCTGTCAGAGAATTTAATGGTTACTTTCCCAGATGAGTAATGATGCTGGCTGGGGTTTCCAAGGAACCTGGTACAGGCAGAGATTGAATTACCTGGTAGAGGATGTGCTAGGTAAAGACCTCCTCATTGCTCCTGGGCTCATGCTGTAGTATGAAGAACTTTCCAAATCTGAGAGGGAGAAATTAGGGCCTGTTCCTGCAGCTATCGGTGCTGGGGAAACAAAAGAGATTGCAGTCAGTAAGTCATGTGAGCATGGCGTGAATTGCACTTCAAAATCACTTTTTCTTCCTCATGAGTGTGTTTAGTTTCACGATGGGAACAGGTGGGATGTGGAAATTAGGAAATGCTAATGGTACCTGGCATTGAAATCAAGAAGATGGAAATTTTATCAAGAATACAATGTTCCATGACACACACTCTCTTTCTTGCATTCCTCCAAAGATATTATTATTATTTTTAAAAAATCAACAATTATGGCATGACTTTCTCTAAGCACTGTTTTTCTGTTAATACCATTCTAACATTTAACAAAACTTGTTGCTTTTAGGACCTTGGCACTGTTACAGACTGGCTGCATCATCCCTGTGGAGTGCTTGGCAGGATCTGTCAGCAGCACAGGCAGGGAAATGCACACCTCAGGAGCTTTGGGGTGCATGTGATGCACAGCCACGAGCACAGAGGGTTAAAAAAGCAGATGGAAACTTGAGTTCTTTTCAGCCTAAGARCATCTGAACTTTCCTCTGGCCTCTCCTCCAGCTGAATCAGAGACACACGACTCCCCAAAAGTTTCATCCAGCAGTGAGCTWCCACTCTTCACCTCATCACCTTATCCAGCACTGAAATTTTTATTGCAGGGGATGTGAATCCCTGCAATTTCCCCATCCTAGAGCTTTGGTTTCACATTAAACATCCTGGATTCCTACACACCCTGAAATGTGCAGGCACAAGCCATGAACCTCATGTGCTGTATTCTTCTGGGAACAGACAAGGACCAGAGCAGCTTAAAGCTGAAGTCAGCAGAGAATGGATTTCGTGCTGAAATGCCACAAATACAGCAAATGGTACCGTGTCCACTGTGGCTGTTCAGTGCTATTGCCAGGACAATGCAACTTTGGGAGCTGACAATTACAGATCATGATTTTCTCTCACATTTCAGTGCCATCAGAGGGAAGGACGTCCTACACAATGAAATGCACCAGCTTGGCCTGGGCTGTGTTGTCTCAGAGCCCTGATTCGCAGCCACAAAGGCGAGGCAGTCCCGGTGCCACACAAGGGATGCCGAGCCAAGTTTAATCTTTGGTCTGAGAACCTGGCCCATTTTCAAACATGAAAAAATCTTTCAGTCCAGCGGGGAASGAGTGAGGAAATGAAGACAGGATAGCTCCTATCACCCAGCTAACATGTCTGGGCTGGGAGTGCTGCCACTGACTGTAACGGGGCCAGGATTTCACCCCAAGTCTTAAGGAGCTCACAATGTCAGATCTGACAGAGGAATAATGCAGCTTCGCAGCTGCCTCATCATCCCCACAAGACAATTAGTTGTTGTTTGGCAAGGATCTTTTAAGAACGTCATTGAGACAGAAAGGGAGCAGCCTGGATAGCCACGGACTTTTAAAAGCTGGGGACGGAAAATGCACAACGCCATTAAAACTTGAGAAAATCTGGAACGGCCATTAAAAGGAATTAAGTTGGGAAGTAATTTATGACAAGAACACTCCAATCCTTTGTTATCTTCTCTTAACTATCATAYGCTTCCTGCACACTGGGTATATGGGAGGGTGTGCTAACAGAGGGAAGGGAAAATTAAGCACAGTAAAATTAACTCGTTTTATCAATTTGTGCTTTCTGCAACAGTTTCCTGACAGCAGCTACAAGAGGCTGTAAAACTGATGAATTTGCATGGAAAAAGAAACCGGTGTAAGTAATTTGTGTAAAAGGTAACAGGGACACGGACTGCTATAATTCAGACACCCTGCAGATAGCAGACTGCTGCAGTGTGTGCAGTTATGGGTTAGAAAAATGACCACACTGCAGTCAGTCTGACTTGAATGGAAATCAATCATAAAGGTACTCTCTGCAGCATCCACTCCACAGTTTTCAGCAACTTCCTTGCCAAACAGATTTGTGCTCTGCAAACCCTTTCCTGAGCAATCCCTCTGCACCCTGTGCCTCCCAAAGCCCARCTTACAGGTTAAGCACACAGTTTTSCAAACAGGAACATAAAAAGGCGAGCACTAAATTAAAGCACTGCTTCTTTCTGAGGCACAATGAATTTCCTGGACTTTGCCAGATTTATGAAACAGTTTTATTCCAAGGAGATAAGGAATTAAAACTGGTWTGTGGGTAACGCTTCTTTCTTTGCCCTCCCCTGTGTTTATTGCCCTTTCCCCATATCCTGAGTATTTCCTGAGCTGGCCCTATAGGAAAATGGAATGTGTGTCCAGAGCAGGGTAGGGCAGGAAAAAGGTATTGGTAAATGCTGGGTAAAATCAGTGCAAAGCAGAAATAGATTGATCTGGGTAGGATGCCCAGAGGAGCTGTGGATGCCTCATCCCTGGAAGTGTTCAAGGCCAGGTTGGACAGGGCTTGGAGAACCCTGGGACAGTGGGAGGTGTCCCTTCTGGAATGAAATGAGCTTTAAGATCCCTTCCAACCCAAACCATTCTGTGATTCTGTGATTCCTGTCAAAGCTTGAGAGTAAGCAAAGGGATCCCAAGTGGTGCAAAGTGTGGCAAAACTSTGTCAAAACTATAAAACTCTGTCTAAACTAAAAAAATCTGTCTAAACTAAGCAGGCAGAAGTAGCTGGTTTGCCCAACAAGAGGAGGAGAGGGATGAGGAGGAAGGTGGGTGCCTCTGCCTGCAGTGACCTGCAGCATCACCCTGCTCCCAGCCTGCTCCCTCCAGCTCAGCTCCTCACCCAAAATGTCAAGAAAAATAACTGAGAAATTAATAAAGAACCCTCTGACTTAACCCAATTGCAATATTTATTTTGAAAAAAATTACTGAATTACAGAACAGGAAACCCACTAAATAAAACCAGCCAGGCTGGCATTTGTCTCCCTTGGAAYATGGCACTTTCTTTAAGCCACGTTAATATTTAGCCTCTCTTTTTTTTTCCCATTTTGATGAACTTGTTTTCACAGAGGGGCTGGGATGTGACCAAGATCACTACAYGTGTAACGCTGCAGTGAAGTGATAATGTGCTTAAGGTTAAATGGGAGAAACATGACATTTGACTAATAAACTTTTTCCTGTGTTGTGACTCCATAAACAAAGGGAAACACACTGTGCTGTTGCTGCTGCTGGGAGGAAAAGGGAGCTGGGTGGATTTTTTTTTTTTTCCCAAGGCCTTTGTTTCCTCCACGCTGTATCATTAGATTCAAAGAGGTCTCGCCGAATACAACAGATATGAAATGTGTGATGTTCATTTTAAAATTACAAGTACAGCCTGCTATTGACCATCTAATTATGCTGAGTTCCATTTATAAACATAGCTAACCACTAAGTTTATAGAGACTTTTTGTGCTGCTTTAATAGGATATTGATCGAGAGCAAGGTTTGAGTGGACTGCCATTGAATTGTGTAATGGCATACAAAAGRCAAGGTCACGGCAACTGTTCACTCCATGCCTGCAGTCTATTTTTTATTATAATCTTTTTTTTCTCCCTCTCATGCCCGAGCCCACACAGTGAGTTCTGGATAGCAGTGCTTTGCTAAGGAATATAGAGTATCTTTTTAAATGTTAATTTTCATGCTGCTGACTTTAACTGCCTTCAGCACCGTAGTGCTTAGCATGGCAGAAAACATCCAGAGAGCAGGGYTCTCACAGCCTGGCTCACACACACGTGCTTTGGGAGGAGGAGAACAGCCTCTCCTCCTCTTCTGGGCTACAGAAAGCATCCCTTGCTCAGCCCAGCCCCTCCAGCCAAGCCAGGGCACCCCACACCTTGCCACAAGGATGTTCTGGGATTCCCAGGACTTCCTTTCCTTGTGGTGTTTTTGGGCTGGACAAGGAGGAAGCTGTGTTTCCTCAGCTATATCTATGCTCCATGCCTGCAGTGCTGGCAATCTCTCTCCATCCCAGCCCTTGTCCCCATGGCAAGGACAMCTCAGCCCCTGCCTCTATCCCCAAMTCTCCATCCCCAAATCTCCATCCCCAGAGCTCCATCCCCAAAACTGGCACTGCTGCACCGGTGTGGCAGGATCCCGAGCTTCCCAAAATGTCCTGCCCATAAAGCACCTGAGGAATCAGTCTGAGTGCTTCAGGGATAATTATCTGGGCCATTTCTGAGTGTGTTTGTGTGCCTGTGGTGCCACAGGCTCATCAGAAGGATGAGAAGTCCCCAATTTCTCCTCACCCCGACGCGTGGCATTTTCGGGGCAGGGTGCAGCCACAATTCCCGTGTTTATCAGCACYAAGAGAATGATGTCACTTTGACAAATAACACACCACCAAACAAATATGTTTGATTTGGCTCTAGCAAATGTTCATAAATCCTCAATCTTTCCTCACATCCTGGGCAGTGCAGTTGCTCTGGCTGCCTCCAGGACCTCCGAGGGAGGAGATCGTCCCAGCAGATCTCCCTGCACAGGAGGGAAGAGCGTTCCCTGCGCCCTTCTCCCTGCTGTCACCACCTCCCAGCTCTGTCCCCCAAGACAAGTGGACACTTGGCACCACAACCAGCACCTTCTGCAGAGGATCYTCCCCAGCACCCTCCTGCTCACAGCCCCTGGAATGTTTTCCTCACACGGGGAGGAAAGGAGGAGGTTTCCCTCGGCCAAAGCTGGCTGTCGGTTCCCAAATCCATCCATCCCCGACCCTCCTGCTTTTGAGCCTTTTGTTGTCAGCACAGAGCTCCCCAGAGGAAAGAATGAAGCCTATGATATCAGAAAGGGTCTCCCCAATATCTGGGGTGATAGACAGCACTCRGAGAGGAGCTCACACCCTCTGCCTGCTGAGAACGGGGGAAAACTGACAGCGTGAGCTGCAACACCCACATCAGACAGGCTGGAGAGGACTGTTTTGTTTTTCAGAGGCACATCTATGATCTCTTTTCTCTGTTTCACTAGGCGCTGCAAGCCTCAGCAGCTGGGCAGCATTTCGAAAGAAAACCTGCATCTATGGGGCTGAAGAAAGCAGGTTTCTGTTCCCAGCACAGTCTAGACTTGTTCAATAGCTCGCAGAAAAGTGTGATGATCAGCACTGATAGGCAAGATAGATAACAGGAACAGCTGACCTTTCACTTGATTAATTCATTCCCCAAATCTGCATGACGGAGACAACTGCCTCTTCCTTGAGACTCCTTGTCATGGGGACCTCTGGGAGCTTTGCTAAATAAACCTGGCACATAACTGCTACCCACAGTATTKTGTAGGATTAATTTTAGATAACAGCTGCCATGGGCCAGTTGAAACTGGGGGAAATCACTTATTTCTATTGTTACATGACCAAAAGCAAGCAAGGAAAGAAAAAGTGACAGTGGGCATGCACAAAGATGACCTCTTTGGAAAGAGGGCTCGTCCCAAATCGGGACACAGGAACGTGCAGACAACCCACAGAGGGTTACATTAACTTTTAAAAACCTTGCCTACCAAATTAGGCAAATACACAGCAATTACCTTGTTGCTCTGTTATGTCAAATAATTCTTTGAACGTGACCGTGTGAATTAATCCTGAGTTTTCTGGGAATTTGCTGCTAGACTTGACACTAAACATATCCTACTGGGTAGGCAGGGCATGTCAGGCTGTGGGGCTTCTCAGACCTCGTAAAGTAAACAAGGTTAAGGCTGGTCAGTACATGTCTGGGGCATCTCCAAGGAAAATCCAGGGTGCTATCAAAAGCAGTGTAGCTAAATCAGTTGCTGGCACTCGTCCCTCTGAGTCAGTTCTGAAGTGATATCCCAATATGCTTTGGGGACACTATTTTTGGTGGAGGTGCTGGCTTGTGGACAGGATATAAAACTGAGGTCTTGACCTCGCAGGGTTATTAAAGAGCCCATGAAAAACAGTGCAAACCCCCGTGTCTGGAACAGATAAAAGCTGAATATTTATATTTTTCCCACCAACACTTTTTTTCTTATTTTTAATAAAGTCCATGCTCTTCCTGAGTGCAGGTGCCCCATCCTGGAAGGCGGTGCACTTCAGCTGCGAGCAGAGGGAACATCTCAGACACAGCTCATAATTTGCAAAACATGCTGAGTGCTAGGATTTCTGATACCCAGTGTTTCAGTTTAGTTACAATAAAATATCAGGGAAAATTAATAAGCTTGAAACATGACGCTCCCGAGGTCAGTGCCAAGCTCTGGGGGAGGCTGGGAAGGCTCCAGCCAGGAAGGGGGGCACTTTCCTAGGAAAAGTGCACACATGGAGCACGGCTGACAGAATCCAGAGGCAGCTCTGCTGTGCAGGGCTCCTGCAGCCCAGATAAGATTGTGGTGGAGTGGGATGCCTGGCAGAGGGGGAGGGTGAATCCTTGGGGCTTCAAAAGCGACACGGGGACGKTCAGCTGGTTCTGCCCTCCCTGGCTGCAGGTCCCAGCCCCTCTGAGCTCTCTCTGCATGGCCAGCTCGGTGCCAGAGTCTCCACCGAAGCTCTTCAGCAAGAGAAATGATTTGCAAATGTGCAGAGCACTCAGCGGTGCCTCTTGACTTCTGAGGCCTCTTAACTTTGCCCTCCTCGCAAAATTCCCACCAGCTGTCAGGGAAAGGAGCTCAGGAGAAATGTTTTCTTGCACCATCCTATTTTTGAATGTAAAGCCAATTTATAAGCTAGTCTTTCCAAAAGAGAAAATAAACCAGGAAAATCCCCTGAGGAACCCTGTGTTCTAACTCAAAACCATGGATTCTCTGCTAGGTTTGTGCCAGTTAGATTCTGACCCCAGAATGACTTAAATTATGTGCTCAGAGCTGGTACACAAAAAAAAAAAAATTCTGCTAATAAAGAGAAGAACTATTCTTATAATTTAATGGGGTTGGTTGCACACTCTAAGGTTTTGAAGGAGCACAGAGGTGAGGGTTTCACCCGGRGCAGTGGGGATTGGTGACAATGTGATGGTACCCAYTCAGCTGGARTAAAATCACAGRAWGKTTTGGGTTGGAAGRGACCTTAAAGCTCATCCAGTTCCACCCCTGCCATGGGTAGGGACASCTCCCACYGTCCCAGGRGGTTCCAACYTGGCCTTGGACAYTCYSAGGGATGGGGCAGCCACAGCTTCTCTGGRCCAAGACCTCYCCATCCTCACAGGGAAGAATTTTTTTAAATCCCTAAAGGAATTGCTCCTCCAGGCCTGTCTCGGCAGCAAGAGCCTGTCCACACTCTTCCTTTGTCTGGGAGATGTCACAGCCAAACACAATCAATGCCCCTTTGATCAGGGGAACGGGGTGGTGACAGGTGAGTATTGACAATCCCGCAGTGATCACCCTGCAGAGTGTCACTCATGCTGGGGGCATTTGCATTCTTTAAAGGTCAAACCCCAAATCCTCCTGGAACACAGAATTCCCTTCAGCTGGTGGAAAATGCGGGCCTGGACAAGCCAGGATGTGTGAGATGGTCAGGGCTGAAGCTGGCACTGTTGGTGGCACTGTTAATGGCTTCAGCAGMTTGCAGGGGTACAAACCACAGGATCAGAGAACACCCTGAGCTGGAGGGASCCACATGGAGCATCAAAATCCAGCTCTGGCCCTGCACTGGACAGCCCCAGGAATCACACACACACAGACATGTACACCTTGCATGGATTAACAAAACGGGAAAAGACAGCATCAGGAAATTTCCAGGCTCATGTGCACAGATTAGGTAATTTCTAGAGGTCTGGTTACAACACAGCCCTTGGATCCTCCAAGGGACCCATGGGAAGCTCATTTCTGAGTGCATTTATCTGCACTCTGCCCATTTTCAGCTGGTACCATATRAGCTTATCAACTTGCACATGCAAGTCTGCAGAATTAATTTTTTTATCAGCTTACTTTAAAATTCTGCTGTTTTATTTTCGCCCATTGAAAGACGTGGCACATAAACATTGTGCACTGGAAAGAGAGGAGAACCCTAATTTTTAAGATGCTGTTTCTGAGTTTAGGAAGGGAACAACAAGCATCAAATAAAAAAACTTGGACTGCAAAAACCACATAAACACAAAATGATACTTACTTTGTGAGACTCTTACTAGCTCAGTCACACTGAAAACACCTGATGTGACAAAACTGTCCTGGAAGCCCAAATGTCCTACAAAACAAACAGAGTGAGAGAACTGCGATTAGCTTTAAGCATTTAATGACAGTATTCTCAAATACTTTACTTTCATTTAGACCTAAAATGTGACATCTAATTTCCCACTTAGCAGTAATTATTGTTTATGTAGGTGGGTAGCGAGTCATACAGCTATGTAGGCTGCTTTGTGGTTTCTATCTGGAGGTTAGGAAAGCTAACATGACACATCAGCAGGGAGATTTTTACATGTTAAAGCATCTCAACAGGAAATCTGAAACAAAAGAGGGCTATTTTAATAAACGGTTACCTTGGATGACCCCTAATGACTTCACAACTGAAATGAAAATACTGTACCTAGGAAACAGACAGGACAGCTAAGTTCCATAATCGTTTTAAACATTATTCTCTAAAGAAACATCTGATCAGGATTATCTACCCATTCATTCAAACAAAACAAGATTTAAAGACGTATTCTTCATTTTCCTAAGGTTGCACTAGGGGGAACTTAAAAAGACCAGATGGTTAAAAAAACATTTAAATTAAGGCCTTTCCAACAACAAAAAAARAAGTTCTAACATTTAAAACTAKGTTTTSAAAATAAAAATAAATGTGCATAAGAAAAAGTAAAAACTTTGAGCTCTGTAGGAACCAGGGTGGACGCGCAGGGAATGCCTCGACGCTCGATACCAGAACGCGATGGCACTTTACATAACAGCATTTTCCTTCTTCTCTGCAGACATGCCTACCACCAAATGTTCATTTAATTTTCACGGCTATGCTCYGTGACAAAGGAGTGGCCCAGAGCGGGTGTGAGGGCTGGGATGGAGCTGGACAGAGCGAGAGGGAGGGAGAGGGAGGGAGCTCGGCCGGGCTGACCTCCTGCTTTGGAAATCAGGGTCACAGGAGAAATCGCAGGATAAAGGGATTAGTAAAGGAACGGTAAAGTCCTGCTTGCCCACAGGACAAGTGGCATACCTTTTTAGGCTGTCCTACTTAGAGTCACCGATCCCGGCGCACGCAYGCATTTGTTATTGAATGTTTTGCAGGGGCACCATCTGCTCCATCGTTAATTGTTTGTCAGGCTCAGTACGATTTCCCTGCCTTCCATGCATTCTCCTGCACCCCAGGCTCATCCTRGGAATACCTGTGCACCTTTCTCTGATGACCAGAGTGATAGGACTGATGCCAGCTGCACATTGGTACTCCTGGCTTTCTTTTGGGGCTGTTTATAAAACCCCACCATATCCCACAGCCATTGCTACCTGTGGAATGGGATGCCAAAGGAATGCATCTCCAGTGAAACACTACTGAGGGTGGAATTTTGGGGAAAGTTTGGGAGAGGTCTGGAGGGAGGTGAGCTGCTCACCTCCAGCCAAGATCTCATGGAATCCTGCTCCTGCACAGAAGAAGTTCCCTGTTTCTGCGAGGAGCCCACGGTGCCAGATGAACGCAGYCTCTGAGCTAACAGACTCGAGACAAGTTTCTGCATCAGGCATGTTTTTCTACTCCAGCAATAATGACGAGTTCTCAAACTGTGTATATGTATATCTTTGGGCATCCTTGTGTATGTGTGTATACATATGTATTATGTACACAAACATATAAATATACACAAATCTGTCATGCTCCAGCTGTAGATAAATGCACTATAAAATATTGAAATTGATGCTGAAATTCAACACAAACAAATTCCTCAATCTGCAAACAAGGTTTTTATTTACATCAAGAGAATAAATTTTTCTCTACTTCAAATGGGAAAAAAAGGTTCTTATGAGCTTTTATTTTTCCTTATTTTCAACTTAGAAAGGGCTCCCAGATAGCTGTAAGTGCTTTTGCCTGATCTGCTTTGTATTTTCCCATAATAAAGGTGATGACCACCTCATTCTGCCTTTTAGAAAYGGTTGCTGGCCATACACAACGTTTGCTCATCGCCGATTTCCAAAGTCTTTTTAATATGAAGATCTACTTTTCATATGCTGCAGCAGACCTGCCTATTGAATTAAATGATCTGTGAATTAAAAATAATTCTCTTAGGTCTTCACTGAAACCACTCATGTGCCTAAAATTAAGCATATGCTTAAGTGCCTTGCTGGATCGGGGCCAGGGCGCTTACTACTCCGCAGAGCCCTCGCGAGCGAAGGCAGCCTGTGCCGTGCAACTTCTCACACTGTGCTCATCGTGGCAGCGTCTGAGCAACTTCCAGAAGCGCATCCAGCAATGCCACCAACATCTGCCACGTGCTGGGTGTTTTTTTTTGTTTTTTTTGGTTTTTTTTTTGCGGCGCACCGCAGCGGATCTGCTCCCGTGTGCGCTCCAAYCCGCACTCCTCAAGCAGGCTCACGCCACATGCAAAATTTAAATATGGAAGGAARAAAGCCACCTAACCCCGAATCATAGCCACAGTAGGATATTTGGCTGTTTTTTTAAAGAGGAAGTCTAGAATCCTTCGTAATTATTCGGTAAAAATGTGATTGCCACGAGGCAAACCACATTATTTTAACCCGTTGCACACAATGGTAAAATCAGAAATGAAAGCGCCATTTTAAATACATTCTAACTCTCGGGGTGTGAAAAAAGATGAATAAGTTCTCTTAGATATGCTGCCTTCATTATTCCCATCTTGGGTACACTTGGAATGTCCCCTTACTCCTGCAGGGATATTCCATATGGGAGTGCATGTAACAGCAATCATTAAACAACAGCACGCAATGAGCGTGGTTAGATTTTCATCCTCCAGTACCAAAAATAAACATTTCACAAATGAAAGGCGAGTTTCACAATTCTCCAATCTGATATTTGCTTATAAACATTAGGAAATCAGGGGGCCAATCATTAATAAAACCCTGATGCCCAGAGAAGCCATGCCTTTGGTTTAGAGCTGCATCACAAATCTGTTTTGATGTTCTGTTGGGCTGTGAATTTGCAGTTCAGTAGAACCCCATGGAAATTTAAAGGTGTGCCTGGATGGATCAGACTGCAAAATCCAGGCCTAAGACTCTCGCTTTTGCTGAGCTGGGATAACAKGGAGAAGAAAATAAGGGAAATAGTACAAAGAACCTAACGAATTATTGGGAAACAGCAGCCCTGACAAAATACGCGAAGAAAACATCATCAACTGGGGTCAAAATGCAAAAATGTATCAATTTGGCTGATCCACTYAATTCTGAATCAGAAGAAAAATAGATAAAGCCAAGCAATTATATAGGCAGATGTTAGCATTAATGAGCTCCTGCACTGAAAAGATGATTGAACACCTTGAAAGCTCCCAAGATTTGCTTTTCATGGGGCACTTKACTGAAATACCTGCGCTGTGATAGTTCTGCTCAATATCCCAAAGGCAGGACATTAAAAGTACTGCCTGTGATGGGTTATTTGTGCAACAGCCACCGTTTGGCTGCAAAACAGGTGCTCAAAATGAACCTTGCAGGGTTCACTGGCTGAAATTCTGGGTACAAATGAAGACACGTGGCTGGCCCAAGCAGCTCCTGACTCAGCAGATCACGTGCTCCATTTCCATCACGTGCCCAGTTAAAGCACGTGCTTGCTGCCCTGCCAAAAAATGATGGGCTGACAACGTCCAGGAGCAATTAAAATATATGATTATATCGGAATATATTCCTTCAGAGCAAGTCTAGGGGCAGGCAGGACTTAGCTCATCACCTAAGATCTCACTTTGGCCCACAAGGRGGATCATCTTTCCCCTAAGGGGGAAAAAAGCCCCAGGTTAATAAGACCAAATTGAATAAAGCAGATCAGGACGGTAACTAATAAATCATTGTGTGAAAAGCACTGTGCTGTCGTACCAGGTACCACATGGAAAACATCTTTCCATAAATYGATGGATGCTTTAATTGGGGAGAAAATTCGCAATGCCATTTACATATTCTTCTTTTGGAATCCCAGCAAAGGAGCCCTAAGAAAAGGCTTTAACTGCTGGAGCCTAATTCTGATCTCTCTCAAAGAAGTTTTAAACAAATCTTTCTACACTGATCAAATAGAATTTCACCTCATTTTCTCCTAATTTACACTGGCAGAGGAGAAATCAGGATTAGGACTTGTTGTCTAGTGCTATTTGTTTTGAATTATTAAGCAAACATTCCTATTTCAATGAGTAAACGTGTACAAAGGCAACTAACCTTCGTCCTAAAATCGAGTTTACAGGGAGAGTATTGTCTGCTTTCCCAATTAATGCTGTAAAAAGGAGTCTCAGACGTTGAGCTACCAATCAAGAGCTTGTGTTGTAGCTTGAGAAAATCATGACTGATGCAATTACTTTTATGTAGAAAGTCTGAATATAGTCTATAGGTTAAAGTTCATCGGGTTATTGTTCCTTAATTGAATATCTGAAGATGTTTTCAAGGTGCTCAAGGTATTATTGTTATTTAATTAGCAGGCTTCCTTGTGTAATCCAACAGCATTATTTTTGCTAGAAAATAGTTAGATTGCACCACAAATATACGAGGCATTTTCTAAACAAGAGATACAGCTGGCTTCCTGAAAGCCAAGCTTAAATAAAACCGGGAGAGAGCTACTCCTTTGAAGATGAACAAGCCCAAATCCAGTTATTTTTTCTCCCACTCCAATCTGAGTGAGGATGTATTAAGCTTCAGAAAGCAGCTTTTTGGGAGACTTTGATTCCTTTGCAGTGTTTTGAAATTATACAAGTCCCCCAAACTAGCGCTGAACCCGTTTCTAAAGCTTTTTTTTTTTTTTTTTCATGTTCAGCATCTCACTATACACAGCCATCTTAAAACCTTAAAATAGTAATAATCAATTAGGGTCTCAAGCCTATTATCTTAACCAAATGCCTGATTAAAAGAAAAGCCCTCTCTGCTCGAAGTGCAACTTGATTCCTTTTGGTTTTATCCTCTATCTAGATAATCCCATGTTTCACAAACAATGCGGAGCAATAATGTTGATGAGGAAATTAATGTCTGTATCACACAGCACACGCAGGCCTGGAGAGAGGGGATGTTATCACAGGGAACCCGGCTCACCCCGAGGACTCCCAAAAG